AAGATAAGCTCTGCTGCCAGGTCATCGTACCCCCACCCTGGGAGGTTCTCCAAAAGTGAGGGCCGTTAAGAACAGGGATATGTAGGGGTTATCAGGGGACTATAGTGGTCCTCGTTATGGCTTCTATGAGGGCTACTTTGAGAAATACCCAAAAATGACCAGCCCCTGAAAGTAGCACGTCCGAGGATAGCGGCCACGCACGACGGTCGAGGAGTTGAATAGGTTTAGGGTTTCGGATTTAGTGCAGCTAAGGGTTTAGGGCTTAGGGCCTGGGTACGTTAGCCAAACTCACCGGAGTCTCCGGGAAAGTGCTTCAAACACGAAGTCGGTCCCCGCTTGCTTTTTGGGGTGGACTCAGATTAAGAGGACCCCAAGATAGTCCCTCTGATATGTTTTAATCCTTATTATAGGGATTGAGAACCCCCCTAGCTTGATGGTGAAGGGCATGCAAGCCCAGTCTGGTATACTTTAGGTGGACCCTCAACCCTGTAATAGTGAGGATAAGGCATGGTGCTATGCTTATCATACCACTATGACAGGGTGGCGGGGTCCACCTAAGCTACATCGCTATTCTTGCACAGTTGTGGCATCAACGGGAAGGCATGCCTTTGTGTGCTGTGGATCATCATGCCCGAATCAGGATCCCTGAAGGCGGCCTTTCGCTAAGAGGCCTTCTTGGGAGGTTATAGGGTTTAGAGGCTTATGATCTCTGTGGACTCTTGTAGAGGGAGAGGGCAACTTTAGAGATTGTTGACCTGAAGCACTGTGTGCCCTGAGCCGAAACAAGGCGACATTGCAAAGTGAGAAGGCTCTAGAAAGAACCTGTCCACTCAGAAGAAAGCTGCAGCTGCAAATCCTCACCGGGGTACTTCAGCCTCAACATTTAAAAAAAGTTCCAACACCGAAAAGCGGACGCCCAGGCTGGATTTGGTAATTTCCCTAAATAAAGAGACCCCAATCTAGACCCAAAATACTATAGTCCTTAATATTGGGACCCCTAAAATGGTACCCCTAATTTTGGGAAACCCCCATTTTTGTTAAGGACAATCCCAAGACCTCTTCAGGAAGGCCTTAGGCCCCTTGCGCAGGAAAGACACATCTATCCCGGCACGTTTGGCCTCGCACATCACAGCACCGGAGGCCGCTTCAGCTAAAAAACAGTGTCATTCTGAGGATTAGACATCCGTTTCTTTGGGGGTACCTGTGATGAATTGTTTCGTCTTCTAGGGTGTATCTGGGTGAACCTTACTTTTTGGAAATTAACACATGTCGTGTTTTATTTGCTCTGCTTTGTTATATTATTGACCCATGTTATGCATGCTGCTTGCTTTGCATTTCATATATCATCAGCTCAACATTATGCGATTGTTCCTCTATACTTCGTAGAAATACTGTGTCTCCTTGGTATGCTATGGTTTCGATATCTGGCATGCTATGTCGTCTAGATTTCCCTACATGTAGGCAGATTGAATTTGTCCGTGCAGATTTGGCACATGAGTTGCTCAAGGTTCAGCTTCTTTAGGGTTTAGGGTTTAGGGTGTCCTGTTTGCGGTGTACTCCCAATGTTGTTTCTTTTGCATGCTGTTGTTGCGCGACGTCCGTGCATGGTTTGCTCTAGACCTGGTGGGCTATGTAGTTTCTATTCAGTATCTTGTACTAACTTTTTGCTCAAACTTGAGTGATCCAATTGCTCTAGGCTTGGTACTCCATATATCAGGTCCTTTGTAGTTCCTTGTAGTTGGTGTGGTATAGCTTCATTTGGTAGGTACGCCTGTTGTTGATCTGTTCTGGACCTACAGGGGGCTTGTTACAGATGTGTGGGATACTGGCTAGGCAGTAGGGTAGGACAGAAGTAGCCAGCTTTTCGAGCTTGCCTGCATCATGGCAATCGCGTGCAGAACGCGAAAATCTTAAAGCTCCTCAACCACTAGATGCTTTGGTGGTCACGCATCGGGCTCCCGGTACTGGCTGGGCGGATTCGCATTACAATCATGAGATGTATGCACTCCCACTATGGCAGGCGTACTTAAGGATTGCATCAGATGCTGCTTCTTCGGTAAGATTACGCCAGCCGCTACGGGCTGTTGAGATTCAGCCAAGATGCTAGCATACAAAAACCTAGATGTCCTGCTGCCTTCAACCTTTTTCAGTAGCCCTTAAGCCTGTGACCCTAAGCTCTTAAGGTCCCACGCACTCCATTTGCAAATCTACAAGGGTATAAGGTCGGCAAAACTGCAAGGCAGGCCCCGAAATTCGATCCATATAAACCCTATGTCCATTTCATTGTCCATGTTTTTCCATTGTGTTCTCCACTGTTCCAAGCCCCACAACCTTCATATATCCCTATACAGCTAGATATCCCCTATGATTCCCTACAGAGCCCTTAGAGCATTCGGAACATGCAAGTGACCCAGAACCCTAAACCGACTAAACCTTTAGCTCAGGCCCTAAGCTCTAAACTCCCTAAACCCTAACTCCTAAACCCTAATCCCTTAACCCTTCAACCCTGTGTCTTACTTTGCAAAATGACGGAGCGAGGTGGTTCTGGACCTCCCTGACATCGCTGTCTTGCTGATCCGCGAAAGCACTCAGAATTTCTAGGACGTGGGGTTTGGGCTGTAGGGTTTAGGGGATTATGGGTTTAGGGGATTATGGGTTGAGGGTTCCCAGCAACGCTTGGCAAGCCGTCCCTAAGCCTGATACCCTAAATTGGCGACGAATCCACTACGTGAGAGCAGCCAAGGAAGCCTCCACACTGGGAAGTCGATGCCCGTCCTGTGGAGGAGCTCCACACAGTGGAGATTCCAGGCCTTATGAACACCTGCTTTCTGCCGTTTCTTATTGGTGCATAAGGGGGAGTTGCACATGGGATCATGAAGGAATAGTTATAAAGATCCATTCCTCCACTGCCCCTTAAACACCAGCGAGGCTTGCCAGGAGCTCGGGCCAGGGACAAAAGGATCAAGGGGATTTTTTTGGCAAAGTATGTGTGCTGCTATCGGGATCCGTTCCCTCATTCGCTACTAATTACTGCTAAGCATCAGGTAGCCGCTGATTACGCAGGACTGTGGGCAATGTGATGAGGATCATGTAGCGATGCCTCAGGAATTTGGAGTGCTTTGATTTACTTCTTTCTCCTGGGTTCTTGCATCTGCTGTTTTGGCACTGGGAGGCCTCCGTTAGGGGGATGCATGCTTACAGCTTTGGGTTTCACAAGATAGTATCAGGGAGAGCCGACTTTTGTGGCGCCACCCTGAAGTGTGGTGACCTTACAGTATTTAGTATTGCATGAAATGTGCCAGGAAGGCTATTCACCGTGTCACCTTATTTGGGATTTTTTGCCATCGGCAAGTCCGACGCCACTAAAGCGTAAGATCCTAAACGTTAGGGCCCTGCATCCAAAATTTCCTCCAGCACTTAAAACCCAAGAGTGTTCGTTGGGGAGAAAGAGTTGGCATGACCAAGCAATTGGAATAAACTACCCTGCCACCTGAAAGCCACTAAGCTTCCTGAAGCCGACATGGAACCTCATATGAGCTATAGTTTAAACTCCTTAAAGGGGGTTATACAGGGGCTTATATAGGGGATTATATGATAGGGGCTATTAAGGGGGATACTAGGAGTCTAGGCTTTGGCCCATGCAATGGCTTCAGGGATTAGATGGGGTTATGTAGGCATAGTACACCCATAGTGGAGAATCAAAAGGAAAAGACAATGGACAATGAAATGGGAATTAGCGTTACATGAGGGAACTCCCGTTTGGATCCACTTTTTGGAACGTAGCCTGTGCAGTCATGGGCCGTTTTTCAGGTTCCATGCTGCTTGAGGGTTAAGGTCTAGAGTCCTGTATGGTTGCAGCTCGACATACTGAGCGCTGCATTGTCAGCGGCACCCTAGAAAGCGCATATAGGCTTTGACAAGAAACCAGTACCATGCGCTGTGGGTGACGCACAATCGTGGACATCGTGTTCACAAGATTAGGCCTATGCCTTGAGCAGAAGTTTGCGCAGTAGCTTCTATGAGGTGGATGTTGCAAGTGCCTTGGACAAAAGGTTTGATTGGGGTTGTTCTGTGAACTGCAGGGGCTGAAGCTCTACCTTTATCTACTAGGCCCGCAGAGCTAACTGTCAGTGGCAGGTGCAGCGCGGCTATCGAGCTTCCTACAAGGCAAAGAGACTCGGGGCTCAGGGTCTGGTCGCTTGGGGTGAAGAGTGTGAGAACGCATTTGGATGCAAAAAGCTACCCTACGAACTAACATGGAACTCCATCTGGCCCCTTTCAAGCTGGTAATGGTCTTTATATGAGATACAGTCAAATTAAGGGGCCCTTACCAAGGCGCATAAGGGTCCCTCTTGTAGGTTTGGTAAAGTCATCCCAACAAGGAACCCAAGTCCACCAAAATTCTGTAGGACGTATTGAGTGTAGCTCACATGTTCCTTTGGGGGTTGCATGTTAGTTTGAGGGAGGCTACACTATTTGTCTTTTGGTGTTTTATGTCAAGGGTTGAAATCCAGAGTCCAGCGGCGTTCCTGGTGTCGAGGCTCAGGAGGGAGCATGGGCGCAATATATGTGACGTGTGTTAACGGAATGGTAGCTAGTAGGGAAGCTTCGACATGGGAGGCTTGAGGCTTCTTGGGGAGTTGACGAATATGGGTTGCAGCGACTATGACTGGGTATTGAGAAAGGAATTGGTATTGGGATCCATTCCTCTATTCACTGCCAGCTACCCACAAACGGAACCCTGGCTGGTTGGAACAGACGCCTGCCCATTTCATCCGGATAGCTTAAGGCTCTTCTGCTTGTCCAAAGCTCCAGCACAGATGTTGAAAGCTCGCTCAGTTGTTGATTGGCTGTGGGTGTCATGTCTGGCTGCCGAGATTCCGGGGAACTTGGTGCAATCCACCTTTCTGCCTGTAAGTTGTGTACCAATTTCAGAACTGGTGTAGTAGCCCTAAGCCAAGAGCCAGATGCATGACAAGACCGAAGCCCTATGCCAGCAGGCATCTACTCCTGGCAGGAGTATCCACTCCTCTTCAGTGAGGCAGGGTCCCGGATAAATAGGGTTTAGGTTTATGGTTTAGGGTATTTTAGGGTATTGTGTGTTTTTCACCTCAACCCCCTCATAGATCTGCATTTGCGAAGCTGCCCTGAACCTCCAAATGGACTTTACCGTAAGCCTGGAAGGCAACATGTAATGTATCCCCATAGCAAGAATGTAGGAACTCCATAGTACCTGCACAGGGCCTCATGGCAACTCTTTCAACCCTGAACCCCAGTTGAGCAACCGTCAATACTCGTTTA